TTCTGATTTGTCAAGTTGGATTTTTAAATTGCTATCACGTAGCTTTTGGAACACTTGTTTCAAATTTACAATGTGTTCTTGCAGAGAAGCTGAGAACACAATAATGTCGTCCATATAGACGAGACAAGATTTATTTTGCAGGTCCTTCAAAACATTGTCCATTACCCTCTGGAACGTTCCGGGTGCGTTCTTTAAGCCGAAAGGCATACGAACGTACTCGTAATGTCCGTTTTCAACGTTAAATGCGGTTTTCTTGACATCCTCAGGATGCATCTCAATCTGGTGAAAACCACTTGCCAGATCTAACGTTGAAAAGTACTTACTGGGCAACTTATCTAATATATCAGTAATATTAGGCAGGGGGTAACGGTCATCTATCGTTTTCTCATTGATTTTTCTGTAATCAACGACAATGCGCCATTTCTTTTTACCTGACGCGTCCGTCTTTTTAGGAACAATCCAAATAGGCGAAGACCATGGGGAATCGCTAGGTCGGATAATTCCTTGGTCGAGCATTTCGTTGATTTGTTTTTCTACTTCGGGTTTGTGTATGAATGGGTAACGGTATAAGTTTTGTTCTTCATAAGGTGAAATAAATGCATGAAAAATTTCAAAGTCGTTTCTTTCGAAATGTCTAGCTGAGATCGGAAGGTTAAGTTTAATTTCTTGAACAAAGTCCGTTCTATTTTGGATATCTACAGGGGCGTAACCATTTTTTGCGGTGGTCAAACAAGCGGGTATATGACATTTTGACAAGTTTGTTTCAGGAATAATTATTTCGCCATTTTCTTTATCAACGGGAATTCTAAAAGATTCTGTGGAACACGGTTCAATACGGGCAAAGAACAGCAATTTGTTTCTTGGCTCGTACATGTGTAACGAAATTTCGGTTGTGGGAGTTTTGATCACTGAATTTGAAATTTTGATATCTACATTTAAATCTTTCAACGTTTCATAGCCAATAAGGCCATCGAAAAAATTATGGAACTTAAATAAATAGAATTTGATTTTCTTGTCGCAATTAAATTCGGTAAAGGCTGGTATTTCGGCACATAAGTTTCGCGAGGTAGTTTGAAAAATAGAAGATATTGTGAATGGTTCATTTCTTATAAATTCGGGGAAGTGAATTTCGGCAATTTCTGGGTTTAGGAATGATTTTGTTGCACCAGTATCAATAAGCAATTTTAGAGGTGGATTGGAAATTTCAATATAAGGCAGTTCTTTACGATCATAAATTGAATTAATTTCTATGTATGGTTTTCTTTTTGCTTGGCTATTTGAAAATTTTGTTCTGGGTTCGTATTGTGTTCTAACTGTTTGCATGATTTCTCGGAAATTTCTTCAGAGTCGTGTTCATAGTAATCTACAGCGTATTGAGGGTCATTGTCAGGATAATAGTCGTCATATTCGCATATTTCATATTGTTGAGAAGGTCCGGGAATATCATAGTCGGGAAGGTAGTTGTCTCGGTAGTTGTAAGGTTCAAGGTTGTGTAGCTCATCTGGCGAAAAATTCGAACGTTGAGGCTGATATGAATTTTGTCGGGCAATTGTGCCATGAGATATGCCACTCATTGGCGTCGGTCTAGGTCGGGAAATTGAATTTTGTTGGTTAGGTCTCCAAACATTAGTTGGGTTTCTTTGTTGACCAAAAACTTGACTGTTTGTTAAAAATCTTTGAGGTTGACTTGGTCTAGATTGAATATTAATAGGTCCACGTGGGAAGTTATGGTATTGATTGAAATTTGGAATATTTTGTTGATTATTACGTGCAAAATTTTGTGAATTGAAATTTGAATTATTATTGAAGTGCGTATTACTATGTTGGAAATTTTGAATTGGTTTCTGAGGTCTATTTCTGGCATGCTGATTATAATTTTCAAATTGATGCGGCTTTTGTAAATGACGGATATTATTTTCTGAAATGATATATTGTCTTGCTTCCGCTAGACTTGTTGGTTTCATGGCTCGAATAGTTGATCCTAGAGGTTCTTTAAGACCGGCAAGAAATATTTTCAAGGCATGAGTATTGTAAAATGTTTTCTTGATATGTTTCGTTTGCGGTACTACTTCATGAGTGTCAATATAATTATGCAGAGCGCTCAAGTTAGACATAACTCTCGTATAATATTGTAAAGAAGGTTCATTATTTTGTTGTCTTAACTGATCTAAATCAAACAAAAGTCCATTTTCGTCTCTTTGGTCTCCGAAATGGGCAACCAAAGCGCTTTTCACGGATTGCCAATCTTTGGCAATGCAAATGCTATAAACTTCTCTAGCTTTACCTATTAATTTGGAATAAATTCCGTAAATAATAGTCGTATTCTGAACACAATTTATGTTAGCGGGATTTGGATCCCAATATGTATTTATGATTGTATTTGCTGTTTCTAAAAATGATGATAATTCCAGCGGATTGCCATCAAATTTTGGAACTATTTCTAATAATTTCGATTCGAAATTTGGAACAACTGACATACTTGAATCGTTAGGTACTAAATTAGGTGAATTAGTTTGACTTTCAGTATCTTCTACTAGTGATAAAGTTTCAAAAATTGAGCTTATCTCACTATCTAAATTTGAACGTAAATCTAACTCGTTCGCTCTATTTTCTGCAATAGAATCAGGCAAGGACGAGGAGAATGACATAGACAGTAAAAGGAAAGCAACTTACAATACTAGAATGGTGTTGATGGTCTTCATCAGGTACTCGAAGTCTTCAGGGTTTTCCACTGCGGAGGTCCTCTGAATAAACAGCTTGAAAACCGACGGGATTTTCACGATGAATGCCCGTTCAGTATCCTACCGACTGCGCCACTTTATGTTTTTGGTTATCACCAAAAGCTTTTTAAAAAATGAATTTATTTATTGAACACAAAAATATCGAAGTTTTATTAGAGAGAAAATTACAATGCGTCTTTACTGTGTGAAGTCTATGTCAAATCTGATGAGAACTAGTCGGTGAACGTCTCGTTTCCTGCAAAGCGTAAACTGATTCTGCATCCGTCAGCGGTCTCAGCATATCCCGTGAGAACATGGTAGCTTATGATGTTCCCGTACATAATTGGTCACACGTATACAGGGTGATCCACGGTGGATGGCCTATTAGAAGTATCTGGAGAACGATAAAACAGAACATTCTGAAAATTGGGATGCTTTGATAATTGAACATTCTCTATCCGTCTAAAATATTTTCATCGATACAGTGTTGCCACTTTTATCAGAAACAACTAGCAACTTTGTTATTTCAAATGGAACACCGTTGTATTTTATTGCATTTTTAGATTCTTCCTGAAGAGCTGATTTCATCAATGCATCACACTTGGGGTCTAGCAGGAATGATTACAGAGATATAGGGTGTTCGAAATCGAGATTTTTCAATTTTAGGATTTTTCGTGTCGAAACTATTCATTATCGATTGAAACGGCGTACATGTCGCTATGTTGAATTTCGATTCACTATCTACTGACATTTAATTGGAACAGATACAGGGTGATCAGAATTCTGAATCTTGAACCACCCTGTATTTTTTCCAATTAAATTCCAGTCGATAGTGAATCAGAAGTTGAGATAGGGACATGTAAGCCGTTTTGATCTGTAATAAATAGTTTCCACACAAAAAATCTTGAAATTGAAAAATCTCGATTTTGAACACCCTATATTTCTGTAATCATTCCTGCTGGACCCCAAGTGTGATGCATTGTTGAAATCAACTCTTCAGGAAGAATCATAAGATGCAATAAAATACAGGGTCTTCTATTTGAAATAACAAAGTTGCTAGTTGTTTCTGATAGAAGTGGCAACACTGTATCGATGAAAATATTTTAGACGGATGGAGAATTTCGAATTATCAAAGCATCCCAATTTTCAGATTGTTCTGTCATTTCGTTCTCCAGATACTTCTGATAGGCCATCCACCATGGATCACCCCGTATATTATCAACTCGATTGTTTTGTTAGCATCAAATTGAAAGGAAAACTTTACATGTTCACTGATGACACTACATTGATTCATTGTGCAGACTCATTCTAACAAATCAGAAATGCAATTGAAAGTGACTTGATTGTTTTATCTTCATGGTTGTCCTATAATAAATTAAGTATAAATTACAGCAAATCAGCATTCATGTATATCTCTAAACGACGCCTCTCAAGTGAACTGAAATTTGATAATGCAATCATCAAATAATATTCCACAGCCATCAAATTCCTTGGAATATTCCGAGGAATATTCGGGCGGAATTCCGAAATTCAAGATTGTGGAACCAATATGGCGGGCGAGTTTTGTGATTATAATCCGATTCTTTTCTTTATTCAAATTTGGTATCTGATGGTTCTCGGGGTCCGAGATCATGATTCTTTCGTCAAATATAGGAAATTCAAGATGTCGGACCCACTATGGCGGACGAGTATTGTAATTATGATCCGACTCTCTTCAGAATTGTTATCTGGGTGTTTTACGGGTCGGAGATTATGATTCTTTTGCCAAAATTTGGAAAGGGCGGGATTTGGAAATTCAAGACAGTGGAACCAATATACCGGACGAGTTTTGTCATTATATGCCGATTCTATTCTTTTGTAAGTGGGCGTTTTCGGGAAAAAAATTACGATTCCTTCGTCAAAATTAGGGAATTCAAGATGGTAGATCCAATATTGCGGACGAGTTTTGTAATTATGTTCCGATTCTATTCAAAATTTTCATCTGGGATTTTAGGAGTCGGATATTATGATTCTTTCGTCAAAATTGGGAAATTCAACTGAACTAAAAAGAAGTTGAAATAAATGGTAGTTTGAAAAACTAAAGAAACACGCTTTTATAGATAGCGCAACTGAAAAGACGTAGAAAATAAAATAATAATAGTGTCTTGATGAATATTGAACTGAGAAAATATATTATAGAAATCTAGAATACGAGGTCTGCTAGTGTTCATAGTATTTCTGAGAATAAACCTTTTCAATATTTTAGATGTAGAACTACCAGAATTTGATTATTTTTTGTAGAATGTTGAGCCATGGGAAGAGCTGAAATCAGAAGCAGATATGGAACGGTACGAATGGAGTGCGAGCAGTTCCAAGAAATGCTTGGAAACTTTGTTCGGAAAACCAACCGAGGATATAGCGGAAAGCAAAGTTTATTCAGAAGCTGTCGATAAGTTGATGAACGAAGGTGGGATATTTATTTGTTTTGACCATCGACCATCTTTGAGTATGATTTTGATTGTGGTCGCATGCAGCGGCGTCACCAAAATCAAATTTGAATTTGCATTCAAAATTTATGATTTCGAACAATCAGCAAATGAACGCGAATCGGTGAGCACAATTAGATAATTTGTCTAGGGCATGTTGAAACCAGATGAAAATCAGTTATTATTCTGTCTTTACTCGTCAGATAATCTCCCATTCCCATTTATAAAGCAAGGTTGTCAAATCACCATTATTATTGGTGACTTGACAACAACAACAAGGTATTAAAAAGTTGTTCCGAGTATTGTTGTTGCATAAAACTACATCCAAATTTCATTTCCAATAGGAGGAAGCCATGATGTTATAGTTATTCATTTGTGACTTTTTCGAAAACCAGCTTGTCAACATATTTTTTATACTTCATAACAAAACAGACTTGGCAATATGTGCTGATAGCTGAAAACTGACAAGTCAGCGCCCACAATCCTTGCCGTGTTGTCACGTTTACCAGACCAAATGTCATCTAGTGTGATTATTATTAATACAAATTTATTATAATCAGTAAGACGACGTTAGAAGGAATATTTCAAGACAATAGATTTTATTAGTAGTAATCCCCGGAGTATAGCCCAGCCCCTCCCCTCCACCTTTCTCCATACCACGTGACCCGACTAGCCAATCAGAGGCCAGCATTTGGTTGGAACACCACGGAAATGTCACGGAAACGTCACGGAACACCACGAAAATGTCACAGAAACGTCACGGAACGCCACGGATACGTCACGGAAATATCACAAAAACATCACACATGTTTCATTACATTTCCGTGACGTATCCGTGGTGTTCCGTGACATTTCTATGATATTTCCGTGGTGTCCGTGACATTTCCGTGGTGTTGCGTGACGTTTTTGTGACATTTCCGTGGTGTTCCAAACAAATGCTGGCCTCTAATTCGCTAGTTGGGTCACGTGGTTCGGGAGAAAGGTAGAGGAGAGGAGTTGGGTCATACTCCGGAAAAACTACTTCTTTTCACTACCTAATTGAGAATATTACCAATACATAATTGAACATTTATGAATCATCAAAGAGTTAATAGTATTTATAGAGTTCCTAATCGTATTTCAACATATGGCTACTGTGCTATTTCCTTTTAATTTGCGGCATTATTCTAGCCGTTTGAAAATTATCGTGGCTTGATGATTTCAGCACCTTGAGATTGATCGCGAAACCAAAAAAATAAATGGAATTGAGAAGTAATGGAGTGATGATTCTATTGAAAAAAAAATTGAAAAAAAATAGTTCACTTGCCTATTGTTGCTCAATTTGAAGTTGTGTTGTGCCTAACCACCTTCAGACCGGTTTCGTGCTATTGATGCTGAATGAGGCCCGATAGCCTGTAACCTGTATGCAGGTGGTTAGGTTGTGCCTGACACAATTCAAGCACAATTCGGTGTTCAGTATTTGGGGGAACACCCTGTATATTGATTTGCCTTCGAATTCATTGCAGGGGAAAGCGAATATACTGTCACCAAATATGGAGAAGCCGTCAGAGCTCTTCTCAAACTGCGAGCTGCTCCTTCCTGATCGGAATCCGCGTATTTCAACAACAAAATGTTAATTCGATTAGATGAAATGACTAAGTGGAAATTAAATTGAACGCGTTGTCGAGTTTTTTGTATTCTTTATTATTTATTAAATATCTAAGAAGTATTGGCTGTTTTTTCATACATTCCTGGTGCTATGATGAACTGTCCATGCTTTGTTTCCAAGGCATTATATTATATCAAGAAAAGTTGTTCACATTTGGGAAAAAGGTTGTGTTTCACACGACAGAAAATGTAGTTTGACTGCCTTGGCTGAACTATCAGCCGCGGAAGTCAATCTACTACTTTTCTGCCTAGTAAAACAAATAACTATATTCTCCAAATGACATAGAAAGTGGCTTTTTAATGTCACTTGACCGGCACGAAAGTAGTACTTTCTCTGCCTACGCAGTACTTACTGCCCATAGGCAGGACAAGTTTGTTGCTATGATACGTTCCAAGTAATAATTCGAATCAAATCTTCAATCAAAATTGACAAAGACTTTGGGTGAACACAAAACTATGGATTATTTGGGAGTTTCCGTGAAATTGGACGAATTTGGACAATTATATGTTTCACACGGCAGTAAAGCAGATTTGACGCCTTATAGGGTTTCGAGCAACTTATCACATAATATTATTTTAATATCTATATATCGAGTTTTCAAAGTCCAATGTTATTTCATTCATTATAATCATTTCCTTTTTTGAGATTCTCCTTGAAGACCTGATTTCATCAAAACATCGGACTTGGGGTCTAGAGATAATGATAAGAGAAATATGGAGTGTTCAAAATTGAGATTTTTTAAATTAAGGAGTTTTTTGTGTCGAAACTATTTATTTTTGGTCAAAACGACTCACATGTTCCCATCACAACTTTTGTTTAAGCATCCACATACATTTTATTGGAACATATATAGGGTGATATGAAATGTGAATCTTGAACCACCTTGTATTCGTTTCAATTCAATGTCAGTAGATATTATATCAAAAGTTGAGATGCGAACTTATGAAAACGCCAGTATCGAACAAGGTCAAGGTTATTAGTGTATAATTATGTTTCTATACTAACGTATATTTGACCAACAATTTTTTCTATACACTCCTCCATATTTTCAGACGTCTGAATATGACGTCTTATGGCTTACATTTTGACGTCTTTTCGAGGTCTCAAAGACGTCATTTTTTGACGTCAATTGGTCAGTTTTGTGACCAATTTCGGACTGTGCTAACTGGTGATGACGCAACACTGCGATATTACGAATTTTACATCGCTGCGATATACAGAAGCAGACATACATCTGCGGCATAACATCTCTGAGATTTCGCCATGAGAAAACAATGCGATATTACGAATGTTCCATCGCTGCGATGTACGGAAGCAATCACACTGTCAAAAATAATAAAATTATAGGGGGTGGTACTTCATAACGTGTCACCCGGTACAGATGCTAAATCATATGCGTGAATTTTTCAAAAAATTGTTATTAAAATTCTTGTTCGGTGAAAAAGAATACATGAATATACGTTACTCAACAAAGTGAAACTAAATTCGCAAATATTCATTACGTTTCTATCAAACTATTCTTGATTTGCTTACATCTCGCCGACACACACTACATAATTTTTTATACAAATACGAGTAACAGAGATCTCATTCTATTAGAGATTCGTAGGTACCACTGGAAAGACGATTGAAAAGACAGGAGACCTGGGAGACCACCAATAACCAGTCACAATAACAACACATAATCAATATTAGATGTCACAAGAATTCAGTGGTGTACCAATTCAACACACCATATTTGAGGAAACTTTTTTTTTTTTCGTTTCAAAAACACATTGCTTTTCCACCACAAATAACATATCGCAATGACATTGCATAAGATATATCGCAGAGAACTCATCGCAGTGAGGTCGCTTGGATGAAACTTGAGTGGAAAAAAATAATATCTCTGACATCGCAGCGACGTCTATGCGACATAGAATGCGATATCACCATCGCTGCGATATCTCTGTGATGTATGTTTGCTGGGCTGACACTTAACAGAAAGGAAAAGTTTGTTACTATATATTATGTAATGTTCCAAGTAATTTTGATGAACCAATTGTCTCTTGTCTTGCATCACCGTTGACAGCTGAAGTTACAGTTGTCTGTCATAGTTGGGTTTGACATGGTCAATTGGTATCAAGTTAATCCAGTGAGATCAAGATGATAACGTTTCTTTCATTTTCGGCCTCCTAATGTGGCGATTCCACTGTGTTATTGGGGCACAGGGCCCCTGTTTAGAAAACCTGTTATATTAACAAAAGTTTGAATTTTCATAATATAATTTTTTGTAACTTCATGTGATTCCAAAAACATTTTTCTCTGCTCTATGTGAGTAGGTACTACCATGTTTTACCATCGATACCCTATTATTGTTGGTTTGTTCTTTGTAGAATAATTTTCTCAATCGGCTGATGATGGATACTCTATAGATCCGAAACATGTCCCCTTTCTATTCATGATTTGATGATTGATGATATCAAACATTGTGTAGACGACTTGGAGTACCTCTTATTACTTCACTCCACTTTGAGACAATATGGACTTCTACAGTAGGTTAATTTTGATGAAATTGGTAAACCAAATTGACAGTGACATTTAGGGAACACAAAATGATGTTTTCCTACGAGCGTCGCAAAGTAATACTTTTCCGCACTCATTTGCGTGCGTAAAGTAATACTCTTCCGCACTCATTTGCGTGCCTAAAGTAATACTCTTCCGCACTCATTGCGGATATGGGTGTTATCCTCACGGCGTGCGGATAAGTAAAACTACCCAAAAATCTCACTGGTATAAAACATTTTATATTCATTTTAGTTGCTGTATGCACTATAAGAAGCCGTTATTCCTTTTACTTTTCAACCGTTTTTGCCGATATTGGTATTTCACCCCTATATAAATATTTGGAACAAACGATTTAATTTTCTCATTATATTTTATTGATATGTAATTATTGTTTGATATTTAGCTATTTCTATCAAATCTAACTAAAAATTATTCAATAAATTGTAATTTAAGTTGGCATTTTTTTATTTTCGTAATTATCTGATATGAAGCTCGAAGGGAGAATGTGATTTTCTATGATTATATTTTATTGTTATATGTGAATGTTGTATAGTTACATTTTTCAATGAGTTATAATTTTTTTTCCTTTTTATCTGATTTGAAGCTCGTCGGAAAAACGTTGTTCCTAACACGTGCGCAAAGTGTCTTTTCCGCACGCAAGAACTTATTCGAACTCCGCTGCGCGTCGTTCGTCTAGCTGTATTATCGTGCGGAAAATAACACTTTGCGCACTTGTTAGGAAAATAACTATTTCGAACTAAAGGTAGGTAGGTATTCACAACTGTTTTTGAGGTATTGCTGAAAAACTACCCCTTATTTTTCAAATGCAGCATTCATTCATCTGGACTTTTGAAACTTGAATGGTTATTTCTTTCACAATCCCTTTAAATACTATTCATAAACTAGGCTAATTCAGCATTTCCAATTTTATACCATGCTTTCGAATTTCAACTGACATCTTCTTTCTCAAGTTTAACGTATTCTAATCCACTGTATTGCAGTTCATTATATTCTACTTCCATCTTACACTCAGTCATGACACTAACTTTCTCAATAGCAGTTTCAATCGACGAAAAAGTATCTAGGCTCTTTTCTGGCCCCACGATATCCCAACACTCTAGTTCCACATTCTCCTTCACTTCAACATGGATCTGATCTTGGCACGAAGTGTTCTCAGCAGAACACGAAGTTTCCTGATATGAATCCCATTTGAATGGTTTCGCCTCGCCAACGCTTTCGTTCTCTAGTTTCACTTTCTCCTTCACATTCAAACATCTTCTTTCTCAAGTTTAACGTATTCTAATCCACTGTATTGCAGTTCATTATATTCTACTTCCATCTTACACTCAGTCATGACACTAACTTTCTCAATAGCAGTTTCAATCGACGAAAAAGTATCTAGGCTCTTCTCTGGCCCCACGGCATCCCAGCACTCTACTTTCACATTCTCCTTCACTTCAACATGGATCTGATCTTGGCACGAAGTGTTCTCAACAGAACACGAAGTTTCCTGATATGAATCCCATACGATTGGTTTCTCGTCAAGGTTCAATTCAGCAGAACATTTGAATGGTTTCTCCTTGCCATCGCTTTCGTTGTCTAGTTTCTTTTTCTCCTTCACTTCAACATGGATCTGATCTTGGCTCGCGGTGTTCTCAGCAAAAGATGAAGTTGCCTGATATAAATCCCAAACGACTGGTTTCTCGTCAAGATTCAATTCAACAGAACATTTCAATAGTTTGTCCTCGTTTTCTAATCCAGTGTGCACTCTCATATGCCTTGTTAATGATCCATTTGTAGTGAATTTTTTCAAACACGTACTGCATTCGAATGGTTCCATTTCGTGTACTCTCTTAGTGTGAGTTGTCAAGTATGCTTTTTGTGTGAATCTCTTTAAACAGATACTACATTCATATGGATTGTCTTCATCGTGTACTCTCATGTGATTGGTTAGATGTACTTTGTCAGAGAATTGTTCATGACAAACAGAACATTCAAATGGTTTCTCTTCATTGTGCACTTCCATGTGTTTTAACAAACTCTTCCTTCTATAGAGTTTCCTTTGACATATAGTGCATTCAAATATTCCCTTTCCAGTGTGAAGTCTCAGGTGTGCGCTCAGATATTCCTTATCGGTGAATTTTTTATGGCAAATTTTACATTCAAATGGTTTCTCTCCAGTGTGCCTTCTCATGTGCCTGATCAAACCTTTTTCCAAATTGAATGTTCTCAGACAAATAGTACATTCTAATGTTTGACGCCTAGAGTGCATTCTCCTGTGCCTCCTCAAACCAATAATTCCAGTGAATTTTTTTTGGCAAACAGAACATTCAAATGGCTTCTCTCCGGTGTGCCCTCTCAAGTGTATAGTCAAACTTTCATTTGTGGTGAGTCTTTTCTGACATATCGTGCATTTGAATAGTTTCTCTCCAGTGTGCATTCTCATGTGCTTGGTGAATTCCCCTCTTGTGATGAATGTTTTCATACATATAGAACATTCAGTTGGGGTCGCTTGTG